TGCGGGAACCACCCACACCTGGAGGCTGAATTTGAAATGCTTCAGTTCTATTTAAAAGGTGGAAATAACCTCAAGATCTCAGTTTTCCAGCTTTTCTGGCTTCCGAGTTAGCGATTTTCCACCCAAAACTTCCACCCCCTCGTACGCGGGACCCAGACTTGCGTGAGGATTGGTACCGCAGTCCTGGGGTGGCACTTTGTCGGGGAACCCCGGCAAAATTTTGGGGCCGGAGCTTGCTTAGATGCCGAGTTGAAATATCCGGATAGACGCATACATGCACACACCCACGCACACACACTCACGCACGCACACACCCACGCACACACACCCACGCACACATACACATACCGGGGTCGTAACAATATGCGTTTTTGCATTTGCATATAAGCAAAAACGCATAAATAGCAAACTGTTTGGTTGCTACCTGCATAATCGATGCAATCGATCTCACTTCTGAAGAGTAGTCGAATACTGCCGAGCTTTCGCTTTATCATCACAAAAAACTGCTTCACATCTGACACTGGTGGTAAATACTGCAATAAATTTGAAAAGTTGAAAATTAGAGGTTTCCCTGTTCAGAATTTTTCGACATAAAACTAATCTGAATCGCTTTCACAAACCGTTTCATTGATCCCGGACGTCATGTACTGCTCAAATTTGTGTCCGCGGTAGTTCGCAATGCTATCGCGTTCGGAGCGTTTATAAGGTGTTTTAACTACACAGAGAAAATGTACGCTCTGATATTTGATGACTCCAAATTTCCAAGCAGTCTGCTTAAAATTCATGGTGTTCCCAATCATTATCAGCAAGCTTCTGCGACAAAAAAAATCCGCATCCAGCTGATCCTGAAAAAAAAAACTTGTCTTGAACAATGTACCGTAGGAAGCGAAAGGAAAGGGACAAGGGCAAAACGGCGCAGTGATGTGTTTTTGTTTAATACAAGTTTTAACACGATCCGCATTTAACCTGCTAACACAAAAAGCGCATCAAAGTTCAATTAGTTCAGTCCTGAAGTAACAACAACAGACTACAAATAGAAATGAAATTAAAAGCTCGAATGCTATGGAATGTGTTAACTTACCTCTATGTCATTTATCCTATCTTGCTTAGTCAAAAAAAAGTAGCTGCGCGCACGAGTAGTCAGTACGATGAATTTAAATTTGCGGGGTTGTACGTGAGCAGAGATACTTACCTAAAATTTCAGCTTCCTAGATTTCGTGACTCCTAAGACAATAACTTTCCCCGCCAAAACTTTTACTGAGTCACGCGAGGAAATATGCGGGAAGGCTGAAATTAAGTGCATGGGATCACATGCGGACAAGGAAAATTCTTACAAAATTTCAGTTCCCTAGCTCTTCTGGTTTCCGATTTGAAAGTTGTGGAAAAAATCTTCACTCAGTCACACGCATGCACACACATACACACACACTCACATGCGCACACATGGACCAGCCCACAGCATGCATTTTGTGCAGTTGTTGCACAGCACAAAACGCACAAAAACGAAATTTCCGACTCGCTTCACCCTGAATTTATACCCAGGTTGGAATGCACCAGGTCTGTCGATGCGATCATGCGTTTTTGCGTTAGATTTGAAGCAGTCAGGTCGTTAACTCTACAAATGTGTGAATATGGTTGTTGCTTTATCTGTGTACTCATCGTAAATCATCGTACATTTTGCACAAAAGAAAATGAACAGTTCCCGTTTAACGGCCTTTTTTGAAAATAACCGAGCTATTCATCGGGCAGTTTACTCGCCAAAATTTTTACGTCCTTATACGTAAGAGCTACGCACATACGCACACCTGTGGACTGAATGTGAAACCTTTAGGCTGTGCTTGGACAAAGAACCCGTACTTAAAATTTCAGCTTTTTAATTTTTCTGGCTCCTGAGTTAGCAATTTCCCCACCAAAATTTTCACGCGACGTACGTGCATATCACGCATGCATGGGAGTGAATTTGAAGTCTTTAAGTTGTGCTTAAAGAGGGAACATCCCTTTAAAATTTCAGGCTTCTACCTCGATAGATTCCCGAAATCGCCTTTCCGCCAAAAAACTTGCATACTTTCTCGAGGAGTCGTACGCGGGTACGCGAATGACAATATTAAAAAGACGAGGGCTGTAGAGGGGTGGGTATATAATCCCAAGTTCAGCGTTCTAGCTTTTTTGGTTCTTGAGTTGAAAACCACAAAAACTCATGGTCGCACGGATCCGCCCGGTGCGCGCCGCCAACGATTTTATTCGGATGTATGCAACCCAGGCTGGAACGCACCGGGCTGGCCCGTGCGATCATGCGTTTTTGCACAGGACTTGAAGTACTCAGGTCATTAACTGCAGGAATGGCTGTTGCTTTACACCTACCTTTTTCGATCACTTGCATAAATCACCATAAATTTTGCATAAAGTAGATGTACAATTTCCATTTAACGATCGTTCTTTAAAAGTAACCTATGCTCAGCCAGATGTACAATTTTAAGTGCCCGTACTTAAGAACCACACGTATCTCAAGGCTGAATT